TTAAATATCACTTGCTTTTAATTTACCTAAACATGCCACAGAAGATAACTTAAATATACGTCTTATAGTATATGAAGTACATCGAAATACTTCTCCTTAAAAATGTTGAAAATGGTGCAATTTTCCGTTCACGCTGGACGAAATTGGGGGACATTATCGTATTAAAAAATTAAAACGTCCTCGGAGTGCTAGTAAGAGAAAAAGTACCTTGCATTTCTCTGTAATAATAGTGTAAACAGGCATTTTCCTCCTTTTAGTTCTGGATGTCATTCAGTTGAAATATCTGTTGACACTCGAACAAACAATAGCGGCCTCAACAACCGAATTCTATTCGACACATTATCCTCGGGGGTATCACTCAAAAAAAACCAATCGAATTGAAATTCACTTGCAGTAGAAATGAATAAAAAAATTACTATTCGAAAATTTACCACGACTAAATTAACCGACGTACAGATAATACTGATACGGATGCCCAGTTACTGAGACACTTGTTCGAATCAAGTGCGCGAATCTACAATGTTTAAAATCGTGAAAGCTTATTTTGGGTGCGCGCGCACCACGTGCTTTAAGAGCTGATCTTCGCCAGTGACTGAAAACTGCCAGCGGACTCGCAAGATCACTGATCGGTCCATTGTTTCTTTCTCACAAGGCTACACTTTAATATTTTTTGAAAATAACGAATTGATAGGTTTTGAAAAAGTTCAGATTTTCACGAAATTATATATTATGACATGACATTTGTTTCGACAACACCGTGTCTTTATCAAATATAATATTTACAAACTACCTGCTACTATATATACCGAAAAATGACTAAAAAACCTTAATTAATGTTGTTGTGAGAATTTAAGTTCAATAAAGGAGAGGTATTTTGTTAATCTCCATGGCTTCCAATAAATTTAATTTTCTACTTTTTGTGGCTGTATGTCAAATATCAAAATTGTCGTAAAAAATGTGTTTTTCTATGTTTAAGTGTGTGGCATAATTAGAATCTAATTTCAACCTGTAGACACCTGATTTTTGGGATTTTGGACATTTCGTTTTATTGTTTTTTAAATATTGTGTTGTTAGTTCTGAAAGCTATTTTTAAACCACATTTTGACAAATGTTTTGAAACCTTTTCACTAGCTTCTCCTATGTATTGTTTTAAATTGTTCGTGTTCTGTATTAGGTTTCGGATAAATAGAGTTTACTGTTGTCTGTATTTGTTTTTTATTTATAATTTTATCTATAATGGACGGATTGTAGCCGTTGTTCAGTGCAATTTGTTTAACGATATTAAGTTCTTTGATGTAATTTTCTGTTGAGGGTGGCGTATTAAGAAGTCTGTGTATAAAAGAGTTAAATGCAGCCATTTTGTGCGTATAAGGGTGATTTGAGCTGTTATGTATGACTGTGTCCGTGTGTGAAGGTTTATGATATATTGAAAAATCTAATTTGTTTTGCGCTTTTGTAATAGTTAAGTCTAAAAAATTAATAGAGTTATCCTGTTCAATCTCGATAGTGAATTTTATACGATTATGTAATGATAGGTTTTGGCCTGGATTCAGGAAAAATCAAATTTTTATGTGGTCGACGTTTCGTTGCCTTCTTCGGGATTAATAAAGATCACTTTCCGTGTTGTTATATATATTTCGGTCTCTCCGCCACTTTTCAAACTAAACAGCCAATTTGCAATCTTTGCACCAAATAGCATGGTTTAGAAACTAACTGGTTGGTATGAATAATGTGCTTTTATATTTTAATTTTAGTTAATATGATTACTAAAAAGGTCCTAGTTACCTAAAATAGCTAGCTACTGACTAATTTGAACACTACCACTACCGTACATGGGCACTTTACCGTATCTACCGTATTGTGGGACAGGCACATTAATTGTTTTGAAATAATTAATTGTTAGTGATTTTATGTTTTTCGACTGTAGCTGTACAAAATCTGATCATGGCACTTTTAAGGCGCCCTTAGTCAGACTGAGATATAAGTTTACGCCGGTTCTGTTGGAAAATATTTAAAAATTTACTTCAACCAGCGAATAATTCTAAAATTTTTAGGAAATTTCAGTATGTAGAATTAGTAATAATTAGTTCTATTCATGTGATATTTATTATAACGTTTTGCTAAAAATGTTTTATGAAAAAGCAAAAAAAGTATCAAAACTACTGTACTCGCAGACAATCAGATCCAGACACGTTAGTTCTAACGTAAAATTGCTAAAATAACGGAAGTGATTTGAAAAGATCAGTTTAATAACCAGCAAATTGTTATATTATCCATCCACTGATGATTGCTATTTTGTGGGACTTGGCTGATTCCTACAAAATTCCAGAGTCTTTAGTTAGTCCACAAATTAGCTGATGAGTTTGAAAACTGCCTAAGTAACCAAAGGTAACATATCGCAAAATTGTTCCTATTAATTTAATTAAATTGCCGAAACGTCGACCCTATAAAAGTTTGATTTATCGAAAGAAAGGTTGTTAAATTTGTGTTTGCATTTCTGGGAAAACTTCTCATCCCAAATTGTTTAGACTACCACTTTCAATTTGGTTTTAAAAAAATATTACAATTTACATATGGTCATTTCGTTAGATAATACGCAAGTGTGCGAGTGTGGCCTAAATTTGCCTTAAGGGGTGTCCAGACGTCTATCAAAATGAATAACGTGTTACATAAGCGTTTAGCTTAGCCGAATTGTTTTTTAACGCGAAACCATTACCTACTAGCATTGCCAGTGTGCATGAAATTTACGGCCATGAAAAATCAATTAAATTGTTTTCATTTAAATGAATTATTTCCGTTAAAGTCTAATTATAACGCGTATTTTCATAAAATCTGAATATGCGCTGGATGCAGTGCAAATCTTATTAGCACAATTCATTTCACCGAGACCTCTGAACGAAAAATTGAAATTTTGCGTTTTTGATTTACGATTATACAAATTATGCGTCAATCGTTCAAATCGTAAGGGTGGAAACTGAACTTTTTGAAAATATCCCAAGCGTAAGTCAGTCCCAGGTTATTTCTATATGATTTAATTATTTATGAAACGGCTATTAAGAAAACAGTTTTTATATTCTGGGATATCCCATACGCACGTAAAATTTTATTTAAATTTTCCACACCCCCCCATTGCCGCACAGCAGAATTTCACATTTTTCGCGGAAAAACATCGTTCATACTTCTTCAAGGTATTTGTTGTCCGCCATTTTAAAAATTTCCGGTACCTACACAAATGTTAGGAAACGAGTAAAAAAAAAAACACTACGTAAAATCCCAATCAACCATGAACGTATAACACAAGTTTATTGTTGTTTAATTTTTGCAAAACACAATTAGGTTAGAAGTACATTGTCATTGAGATATTACATATTCGAATCAGGTTTGTTTCCACATAATCGCCTCTTGTCGAAGCGCCTTCTTGCAATAATAATTAATTCGCTTTGGGAAATTTTGCAATAATTGTCGTTAATACCAGATTTTTAATAACAACTAAAAAGTTTACGATGCTACGAGCGCGATAACAAAACGACCTGGTTAGATAGCAAAGACAAATGCACTTATATTTCTATCTACTATCTTCAAGAACCTGCTCCTTTAAAGTTCAAAAACGTAATTAAACAGTCTTAGCTTTTATACTAATTGATAGTTCTGCACTGTGTCCCAGATTTGCTTCAAGTATGATACTATTTTTTAAAACGGGAGATCATCCAAGGTCGTGAATGGGCGAGTGAAATTTGAAATTAAATATTGCAAACCTCGTACCGATAATTCCACTCATAATTTACGAGCTTGCGCATTTCAAACAAAAATAAGAGTTTATCTTCATATTAAGATCTCAGACGTACAGATTCAAAATCTGTTTACAATGCAATAAAAGATTTACTCTTATTAGAGCAATAAAATACTGATCGGTTAAAATTAAACGATCATTATTTTTATTAACTGCTTATTGTCGAGGAGCACAGGCGGCAGGCTCGTTCGAACATGTCCGTTTTCGTATAAAATATAATTTTATATTTTAAACATTAGTTTTAACGCTTAAAGCTTCGCACGGCAGCCCATAAAGTTACGTATTTGAGTCGATGAAAAATTCCCAAGTGTTCCGAGAAAACCGTTGACAAGGCGACTAATGTGTATTGTTGGTTGCCACCGTGAGGCTAGTTTTATTTTCCGCCTTTGTTTCCGATGCTTATTTAGTGTTTGGTCACGATTGCGGGAGCGAATTTTCAGAAATCCGTTTTTGCAACGCGTTTTACTGCGCGCTGCAGTAACAATTCAATATATTTCCGCCACCGGAAGAGCTTAACGCAATTAACAAGAATGATCGTCGTTGTGCCAAAAACCATTACGTTTTCGCTACTTTTTTATTTTTATAAGCCCCCGCCGCCCTTCCACGCTAAAACAACAAAAAATATAGCGCATTTCTCGAGTAGCGACTAACCCTTTAATAGCTGAAGGGCGACACAATTTCAGATCCCCACCCTTGCAAGCTCCCCTCTGATTTGAGCCTGCGAATTTATGCCCTATTGTTTTTCCGAAGGACACTGCGGCATTTCGGGCAGAGACCCAACGGATCCTTCGCTTCCTGTAAATCCGTCAGTGCATCCATTTCATTACGTCTTATTCCCGAATTCGCTACGTAGGGGAAGTTTTTGGCGATCCTCGAATATCTTTTATTCATGAGTTTGCTTCAAAGCAAAAGAATTTAAATAAACCGTTTAGTAACGACACTCGATCGCGTAAAATGTTTCCTTATCGAGAAAAGCTTGAATTTTACATTAGACTTGTAACCTCATTTGATGGGACGCGGAAATTTTGGAACCGTAGACTAAATTATGCAGTCCCGTTCGATAGACTGCATCGATTAGTTCATATCGGGACGGAGAGTTAGTCAATAATTAATTGCCGCGGCCACGATAATTTTTAAAATATGGCGAATGCGCCGGATTAGGGATATGGGTTCCCGTCACATTTTCCGGGATATGAAACACGGTACTAACCTCGGAAGTACTAGTAGCACCGGAACTGAGAGCGGGCGACATGGCGGGCACGTCATAGTTAGGCGAAACTTGATGCGTCCTGTACTGTTGCGATTGAGCGGTAAAATTTGTAGTTGAGGGAGATTGCAGATTATTGGTGGCACCCGGTGCACTGTGAGTCTGAGTTGGTTTCTTCAAATAATCCGGCATAAATGCGGCATGATAAGAACCTTGAAAAGATTCGCTCAAGTATTGCTTCACTTGACTTTTCTGTTTCTGAATTACATGGTATCTAGTGGGATTTTCAAGCTTGGTTTCGACTTCTAGCACCTGGGGTGGTACGTCCCGGGCTATACTGTGCAGGGGTACTTTTACCGGTACCGGGGGCGGCCGCTGACTCTGCGTTTGTTGCAATTCTTGTTGCGCCCTTTGCCTTCTGGCCGCCTGTTTTTGTTGCTCTAAGATAGCATGATCTCTCATTAGCTGAAGTTTCAGCTGGGTTCGTGTTTGGAGTGTGGTTGTTTTCAGGTTCGGCCTGCTGAAAGGAAAAATTGGAAACTGTAATATCCCCTAGGGTCGTAAATATTGTTAGTTTATTTTCCTATATCTAAAGTTTTTTCCAAAACGATGACGCTCTCGGTGGTTCAACTGACTGACCAAATTACGGTATTAACCCCGATACGCTGGAAATAAACTCTGGGATGCGGTTTCATTAGCGTCGGTGGTATTTCGAAATTGAAGAGAAAATTGTGCGACCCACAGCATGCAAATAGAATTTGCCCATCGAACGAGATATGTCGGGGTCACAAATTAAATTTTTTTAGATTTAATTTAATACCAACGATTGAATGTTTTCAGCCGATACTTGGTGAAAATTAAAATCCACAATGGTTTTTAGAAAACTAAATGATGGACTTTCACATATATTCATCTAATCATAATCATAATCAATATTAACTAGTTGTAGAACGGTAGGTTATTAATCTTAAAATAAGTTTAATAGAGGTGAGTTATTATCTAATTTTTTGAAGCTTTTAACAAATTTCAGAAACTCTAGTGACAAAGCCTCAAACTTCTTAAGTAAACATAATCTAACTTTCTTGTAATAATTGTCCCAAAACGTATATTGGCCGAACAGGAAAATAATTCAGTAAACTTATAAACTTATTAAATTCATATGAAATTTTGAAAATCGATAAATTAAAAAAGTCAAATTTCCTTTTAAATCAGTGGTTCCCAAACTTTTTTTTCTCATAGCCACCATATTCTATGTAAATGTATTTTTTGTCACGCCAAAGATTACTTTGGCAAGCACTGTTCTAGATGATCAATTAAATCTTAATAACTCACGCCTATTAAACTTTTTTACAGAATAATTAATTAGCGTTGTAAAAATGGCACCTAATTTTTTTTTTTAATAATGTTACGAGAATTTAGGCTCTTTTATAAATTACCTAGACTTAACGATATGTATAAATGCACTGAGATATTGTACATTCGTCATTTTAAGATTTTTGAGTTTTTATATTTCGCTAATTTATAATCACAGAAAATCGAATCACGAAGAATCGGATAAAAGTCGTACCGTTCGCCGTCAGTGGCGATAAAAATATTAAGAAAAAAATTAATTTCATCTAAACGGAAAAAGGTGGGCAGCGGGGAGTTTTTGGAAACCAAATACAGACGTCACTGACCCCTATCTTGTATAAAAATTATAAGTTCCTCCAACAATCAAAAATATTTTAAAAAAATAAAAACGTGATTTTTTCAAAAATTACAGACAAAAAATATGGTCTGTTCCTTAATTGGGAATTTTATAGCCAATACAGTGAACAAAATATAGGTAAAAAACGAAATATATCGATAAATTGTAGATAATATATAGATAAATAATACATAGTTTATCGATACTTTAAAAAAATAATATCGAATTAAAATTGCTGGCCCTCGAAAACCCCCTTGTAGAAAATTCAATCTTCGTTCGAGAAATTTCCCCAAAATCCCATTTAATTAATGGTATATACTATAATCCTTCCTTTGTCAAACGGTACCAAAAAATCGAATATACGTAGTACCATACGTCATCAGTAATGATTTTTGTGAAGGCATGAAGAAATCAAAAAAATTAATTGCAACTAAAGGGAAAAAGGAAGTATCCAAACACAGACTTCACTGGCCCCTATCTTGTATAAAAATTATAAGTTCCTCCGACAATCGAAAATATTTTTAAAAAATAAAAACGTAAATTTTTGAAAAAAATCGCGAGACTTAGTTACGTAAGTATTTGATAATATCTGAATTTTGCTAGTTAGTCTGAAAAAGTTACAGTGTTAACGAAACATATCACTCTGCTTATAAATATAAGTGAAAGTCCGAATAAACATATTTTTTTTCTAAAAACCATTATTAATTTGAAGCTAATTAAATTAAGTGTAAAATAAACATTAATATATTTTCTTCAGCCTTATTACTGGACACACAATCCGTAGAAATACAACATAACGAGAAGGAAATTCGAAGTCGAGTCGATGGGTGAAGCGAAAGTTATTTTATCGACAGAGTTCGGCAATTACGAAGTTTTCTATGGAAGAAGACGCCGTAATTTCATATTTTCCACCAATCCACACCAGAAATGTTAAAAACAACTATTCGTACACCCTGCATAATTCCATTTAAATGCCAATAAACTTTCTAACTTGGGCGGATGATCCGGGATGAATTTATAAGCTTGTTTTCGTCGGTCACATTGTTGTCCGAGTCTTTAAATGCTTAATCGAAAACTTTTACGACTACAGATTATAATGTCTAGCTACGTTTAGTGCGAAAGTATACGAAAAACATTTTTAAAACCTGTAATAAGTACACGCAAATCAAGTCTACCGCCTTGATAAGCTGCCAAATCAAAGCAAAATATATTTATAGCCTTTATCTTGCATCCGGCTAGGGCCAAATTCATACTTAGTTAGAAAAAGGTTTATAAACAAACGCCAAGTCCAAAAATATCTGGAAACATTTCCGAGAAGTTATTTTTGGACAAGTATTTCGGCGTTTTGCAGTTTCTTAAACTGTTTTTAACAGCGAATTTTCCCACAAATCCTTGGTTCTAATATTATTTTTCTTAACTGACGACTAAATGATTAGCAATTTCTGTTGGCGATCCGTGCCAAAATTTTAATTTTCGCTATGCGAAATAATAATTGGCTATCTGTAATCTGCACCAATTCGAAAAAGAATAAAAATCCACACCACGATTAATTTTTAACTCAGCTTTAAAAATTTCTTCAACATTTTTACGTTTTCTATTTAATATTTAAAAACTCTCCAAGTTTAATTGCTGTGAATGCAGATAAAATACAAACCGACGCGTGTACAGCGGCGACGAAAATATTTTTTGAAGACTGTTTTCATTAATTAGTACAACACTAAAGAAAACCCAGTACGTAGCAGACGAAAGCGATAACCCTTAAATTAAACGAAAGTCTAGCGAAAATTCTTCTCAATTCCAACGGGGTGGCGCACCAAAAGCGTCACTATTTTCACTGCGTTACGCCACTGGTGGTTACTATCTCGCATATACGCACGCGCAAGATGGTGATGTCATTCCTTTCCGTTTACGTATTATAAAAATAAACAAGGAGTTGAAATTTACTTGTTACAGAACTTGTAATGTATTGTTGATAACAATAACGTATTTATGCTAATGGGAAAAACAAAGAAGAGTCGTTGGAATCCGAAGCGCATTGATAATGAACGGCTATTTACGTATTTATTAATATTTATCGAGATAAAAATCTGAGGAACAAGTTTCGACGCTTATGTGGTTTTGATACGTTGCAACTTCGTCGATTAGTTGGCAAAAGCTGGCTTTGTTTCGAGGATAAATTTCTGTATTCCTTACACCATTGCCATGTTGGCAACATAAGTAGATTCCCCCGCCTAAGTCTTTAGGCATTTTTCGTACCAACGATCGGGGAACTTTGATGTTTTATTGTAATATATAGACATTTAATGCCTTGTTTGTTTTAACGATGTCATGCCTGGTCAATTAAGCTGATAAGAAAGGCGAATATTTCGCCCTACAAGGATGGACAACATTCTTCGATAATCTCGTGAAAGTGACTATCGCATCAGCTGACAATGATGTTTGACAGTGCTCACCTTTCGGATACGGGTAAAGTTTTAGAAGTAAGCTGGTAAAATTCTTGATTTTTCGGCGTTCCCAACAGGTCGTCGAAATCAATAGCACTTTCGATATCAAAGTCGTCGGTAAGCAGGGCCGATAAATCGTAACCCAGATCGATACCGGATTCGGCCATTATTTATACGCGTGTGGCGCACAAATCGATCGTGAATTAGTACCCAGCTTTGCTTCTATCGTAGTGCCATCGTTTTATTTCGAAAAACCGCACGTCGAGAGCCCGATAACGGGACGGACTTGCGCCGGCTTAACTAAGCCGACTCAACAGCACGAAACCAACTGATTTTTTGCCAACAACAATGTCACGGACAAAGTCGGTTTAGGCGAGCGCGTTGCTCGAGCTCAATTTAACAACCACTACGGTTCACTTTGGTGGGAAACGTTCAATTTCGTTTGGCGTCATTTGCTTATCAAGACGAAGCTGGTATCAACGACGACCAACGTCCGTTTTGAGCAAACAGATGCGACTGCAAAGACTTCTACACCATAATCGAACTGGGTCTGAGCTACGTTCCAAACCTGCGTCTGAGGGTGCTTGAGGGTGCTTTCTTGCTAACATAACTTCCTCTTTTAGTTTTTTCTGGAGTAACCCAGTTCCAGATTTCTTTTGTTCCATTCTCTGGAGATGTCCGTACCAAGTGAGAATGGAGCCACTGATACCCGTTTGCTCTTTTATCTACTCGTTTCTTAAGATGAAGCACTATTGATGATCGTTCTTTGTTCCGTGTTCCTGTTAACCCCCATATTTATGATTCGTAAGTGAATATTGACTGAAAGATTTTTTAGAATTAAGTAATTGATTAGTTAATTTATAATTGTTTTAATTGTTAGTTAGTAGTTATCTCTTTCACATGTTAAAAGATTTTCTTCGAAATCAAGCGCTTAAAATAAATTTAAAGAAAAACACTTTATTAAAATTTTCATTCTAGTCCATTTAAGTCATCGGTGGAGTAACTTTAAGACGGGCCATTTGTAATAACTAGACGATCGTAGCGGGCCAAAGAATAATGTTTAATCGTTAAAAAAATTACGTGTTTTATAAATATATACATATATTATTAAATACACTTATTATTTAAATAGTACAAAAGCAAAAGGTAAGAAAATTATAAGCACAAAATATAAAATGAATTTAGTGTAGTTCTTGATGTGAAGTATTATCACTGTGTGTAATGCAACGTGTGTTGAATCGTGTGCGAATTATGCAAAATATGTGGAAGTCTAGTGTATCTCACGAGATGCTCCCGATCAAATGTGGAAAACACTATTCTATTGAGACTACGGAAGTCATAAACAATTTTTACTTGACTCTCATTGAACGTGGTGCCAGCAAACAAGCATCTTTAGAAGAAACGGCCACATTGACGAAAATTCCAACATCAACTGTATGGAAAATTGTGAATAATCCCATTTCAGCGAGGAAAAAAAGTGATGAAGATATAATACGGCGTAAAATTTACCGGTTATACGAGGAACAAAGCGTGCCTACATCAGATACCTTAATTAGGAGGCTTGAAAAAGATGAAACCGGTGTTAAATATGGCAGAACTACCTTATGAAAGTGTATTCAACACAAGTTTTAATGGAATGTTTAAAATTCGGACATGGCGACTAGAATATCTAGAAAAAAATAGGATTTACAGAGAATAACTAAGGCCAATTATTTTTCTTGGATGAAACCTGGTTCGACACTTGTGATACCCCGGAAAAGGGTTGGGTTGACTCAACTGATATGTGTAAAACAAACACGCCATCAAAAAGAGGTAAAAGAATAACTATTTTGCATGTTGGATCTAAAGATCCAACTTCCAAATGGACTTTCTCTGTCTGCGAAAAATATTAAAGATTCTTCTCTGGATTACCGCTGATTTATTTGAAAGTTGGTTTAAAAACAAACTAGTTCTGAACATGTTTGGCACCAACTGAAATCTGCCATTCGTCGTAACAATGTTTTTCCCCGTGTTAACTCCAATGTCCCAAAAACTTATAGAAACCGAAGTTTTTAACATCCCTCCACAAGGTCGGGGGATGATAGCGATAGCGATACTGATATATTATGTAATAAAAAAAATTTGTAATTTTATTTTAGATTTAAACATAAATACATACATAAATAAATAAATATTGTTTAGTATTTTTCCTAACAAAACCCCAAATAATTACATTCTAAGCAAAGTCTTACCTGTTCGACCATATTTCATTCTTACAGCTGGCCCGGGTCTTTCCTTAATTCGTATCAGTCAGTCATTTTCTTATATCTATGAACAGACTTTACCAAACCAAAGTTAGGTAGAAAACAGAAAAAGAAACAACTATTCCTAATAAAATTTTTCCATATTTCCAGTAATAACCAAATTTTTAAATTTTTTTATAAAAAATGTCAATTTTGAGAGGGTGAACGCAAATGTGGGTCTCTTCAGAACTTAATTGAAAAAAGTTAAGCTCTGAAGGGTGAACTTCAACACTATAGAAAAAAATGTACAAAAATTAAAAGGCGTCAGTTCAGTGTGGGCAAAACAGTACTTTAAGACTTAGACTTACAAGATCATGATCATGATGATTTCCCAAGTGTTTTTTATATATTTTGTAGCCAACTCTAAAAGCATAATGACGAGTATATTTAATTTTTTTTTAAGTCTTTTAAGGTGAAAGTAATGCTTCGTATGCCCGTGCAATTTGATTAAAACTGTAAACATTCGAAGCGATTCAAATTCTGTCCCTGGACCGTCACTACTACGACATAATGTAAATTTTAGAGACTTAGTGTTAATCGATATGTAACCAAACCGCGGATGGGTACTATCTACACGACAAAGTTAATTAATATCGTTTTATTAAAAAAAAAATTAAAAAGAAATGCCACGTGTAGGATATTTTCTTACCTACAATATTCTCGCCATATTTATTACCGAGCAGCTGGCTCGGATTGTTTAATACGAAAACTCATTATATTGTTTTGTAATTACTAACAAAACAAGCGACGTAAAAAAACATACTGCCGCAACGATAGTAAAATGAAAAGTCGATCTAAATAATTTGCCGAGTGGACAAACAAACAAAAACATAACATTTGATATGGGCGCTGCTTGCGAGCCTCATAATTAGAAGGAGTGTAAAAAAAATGAGATGCGTTCCGTTGTGGATTTTCTCAGCGGCCGTGCAATGTTGCCTGTGTCAATACTTTTATCTCCCGAATGAAAACAAGGACGTCGAGAGACAGTGGAATGAATTTAAGGCACGTATACGATTGTTAGAAAATTAATAATTAAACGTTTTGTAAATAAGGATGCCCGAGAGAAATAAATTTTTTACGTTTTCGTTTGTCTTTAGTTTCTAAATTTACTATCTCCGTTTTATCATATGAACAAAAATCTCGATATACCATTTGCTCTTTTATGCTATTTAGTGGTTTTTGTTTACCGACAGGATGGCTTATTAATTGTTAATATTCAGTTTAGGGGCCCGAAAATTCGGTAGTGAAAATTTTTAAAGAAGATTATGATAACATAAAGGGAAATACAGTTTTTTCATTTGTTTTCTTTTGTTCGCCATAGTGAATATTTTCATTAATAGGTGGAGCATAAAAAAATATTTTAAATGATGAATGTGATACATGAAATTATCATTCTTATGGTCACAAAAGCAAAACTTGATTTTTATAGAAAAACAAACGTTCCAATGATCACATGCGCTGAACTAGTATTAAATTTATTGTTTACTCAAAACTGAAAAGTCTATAACGTAAAAAATCTCTTTATTTACTAATTACATTGGAATAAATAACACGTAATAATTGAAATTTATAAAAAGTCATTCCACAATTATTATTGTTCATAGTAATACATTGTTTAACTGTGGGTCTCAGCACATTGTTAAATTAGGCGCCATAATTCTTTCTCTGTTGGTTCACATAGCTTTTGATGAACCTCCAAAGATAAAAATCCGGAGGGGGTAGATCTGGCGATCGTGCAAGCCAGGAAACCAGCGAATGTGTTTGTTTAATTGTCAATTAGTCCTCCAAAGATCTTATTTGGCTGTAATGTATGTATTTAAATACATCTGCGCAGCTTCTCGTATATTATTAGGAAACAACCTGTAGCAAACATTTTTCATTTCAAACTTCCCCCAAGAAAACAGAAAAATCTTTTTTTTTATGTAGGCGTCTGAAAAGTTTTTTGGTGAAGCACTAAACCGAAAATCATGTTTGGCGTATTTTGAGATATACAGAAAAAAACATAATTGGATTGTTTATATTTTCTCGAATTTTTCAAAAACGATTTACGTTCATAATTAACATTATTAACTGGACAGAATTTGATACACTTAGAGTGGACCTAATAAATCGAAATTGATGCAAAAAGCCCTAAGGATATAAATTGCTTCTGTGTGATCAAAATTTATAGTCGACCTACAAATTTGATATGATTAAACTGACCGGGTCGAACTGGTTTTGATTTAGTTAATAAAAGTCGTTTCGATGTCAGCGCCATCTATTAAGCAATAACGGAAATATATATCTTAAACCGACGAATCCACCTTTTCTTCGAACTTGATTCCCCGTCGAAGTTCTACCTATAGAAAATCTATTGCCCGAATCGATTTTTCAATCCAGTTGCGGGAACTAAATCATAAAATACACTCGATAGGATTTTGAGGTGATAACTTCGACTTTAAGGTTTATGTTTGGGAACCAATAAACTAAGTAATAAGGGGGAGAGATTTTCTGCTCGAGCAGCATTCCCAATACGGGGATTTCAACTTAATCTGTGGACGCTATAATCCAATTTGATGAGCGATGAAAGGTTTTCCTTTTGTCGTCTAATCCGCTTAAATGTGAAACATTGTAGGCGCGAGGTTTAAGGAAATTAACACTTTGTCAAAATATATCGGAACCAACACAACATTTTTATTATTGCAGGAAAGATTCAACAAAACCTACACCGACTACCACGACGTATATAAAAAGGAAGCGTGGTTGGCGAATTTAAAAAAAATTAAAAAACACAACGAAGAAGCTGCCAAGGGATTACATACTTATTTTCTATTGGATCACAATTTAGCCGACCTGGTGCGTATTTGCGGCTTGCACGCGTGCTGACCAATCCAACCATCCGCCTTGATAATTCCTTACGCTAAAAAAAGAAGCCCAGATATCAAGCGGCTACCTGATATTAGGTCATTTATACGCAAATGTGCGCTCTTACTTCGTATATCCAAAATTAATTGCCTCCCGTTGAGATATAGCGCTACGTCTTCCGCTTCTGCAGGAAAATATTAATAGCGAATTTTTATTTGGCTTCGCTGCACCGTAAGTTGCCAGAAAGCTCTCGGACGGAGTTTCGTCGCTCAATGCGGTGCTTACCGAATCCACTGAAAATTAAACATATCCCTTTAGCTCCAGTCGGTAAATAAAATCAAATCTACTGTTACTGGGTATATTTATCGCCCCCGGTATTTTGCCCGTTTCTTCAATTTCCTGAGGTTCTCTTACGTCGATTATTAAGACGCTGGGATCTTTCGAGGCTTCAATAATCTCGTCAAAGTTACAGTTCAGAGACATGTTTGCGACCCTAGTTAACATATGTGTTAAAAACCTGCGAAAATTCCGTCAGTATTCGGAATAAATGCGTGCTTATCTTTCAGCACTTCAAAATCTACGAGTAAACGGGCACTTACCGGTGGTTATCGACGAGGTTGGTGAAACTTTGAACGTTTCATTTCTTATTGATTTGGATGTTACTATTATCAGCTAGCAATTATATTATTTATACGATTATCGATCGGGATGCGCAGACAGAATACATTTAATCTCATTAATAATTAAAGCAGTAATGGTCGCTACCGTTTTTACTGACCATAAAGGGGATGATCGGGTTCAAAGCCACGCGCTCATACATACGATAACAAGTAAACACATTATTTTTATTTCAAGACGCCTCAGTCGTATCTACAGAAAATGGTTAAATTAACAAAAAGTAGACACCGGAAAGTCGAAGCGGAAACTGTAGGAGATTTCTACCATAAATACAACCACGTCCCAGAAGAAGTGAACTGGATCGACAAGGGATTCGTCACCCCTACATACAACCAAAAGGACTGCGGATCTTGTTACGCATTTAGCATCGCTGGAGTTCTACAGGGACAAATATTTAAACAGACGAATAAATTGGTGCCTTTGAGGTAATATCTAATATTAAAAATTACAACGATTCAATTTAAAAGCAGTGCAGTGCTCACATTCAGCTAAATAATATATAGGGTAAGTAGAAAAGATAGGTCAAGTCATTTTTCATTTTCGCGATACAGGGCGTTGAATTTTGTTTAAATTTGGTGTGCACTGTGGCGGAAAAAAGTATGGAAAGTTGTTAGTATCATGAGCACCTGCAAGTTATGGCACCGTTAATTATAATGACTAGAATCAACTACTTTTTGTAGAGTTTCTGTATTAATTTGCGACCACTCCTAACGAGTTCGCGTTGACTTTTAACATTGTAATGCATTCAAGATATCCCAAAGATATTCAATAGGGTTCAGATCTGACAGTTTCGACAGTTTTTCTTCCTAAGTCATTCTTCCAGTAATGTAGATGCGTGTTTGATCATTGTCCTGCGTTTGTTATGTTATTTGTTAACTCTTAAAAACTGCACTGATGGCACACAAATTTGCACTTTTACCATACCACTGAGACAACCATATTTTCGAATTTTTTTAATATGCAGTTGAAACACGCAGCAGTAATTATGTATTCCTTTCAGTTCTCAACAAATAGTGGACTGCAGCGCAGCATCTGGAAACTTTGGCTGCGGAGGCGGCTCTTTACGTAACACTTTGAGATACTTGGAGAATACCGGGGGCTTGATGGCTTATAGTGACTACCCTTATGTAGCAAAAGTAAGTCAATGAAAGGGAATTTATGATTTTTTTTTTGAAAATATAGTTGACTTGTTTTTAGCAAAGAAGGTGTCAATTTGACAAGCATATGGCTATAGCGAATATAACATCATGGGCCGTCTTGCCGGCCAGAGATGAAAAAGCCTTAGAAGCGGCTGTGGCGAAAATCGGTCCCATCGCTGTGTCCATAAACGCCGCGCCCCATACTTTTCAATTGTACCAGTGAGTGGTTTGACGTGGATTTTGCGAAAATCTTATATACGCTGACCGTTTCAGTAGAGGTATCTACGACGACCCTGTATGCACTTCGAACACAGTCAACCACGCCATGTTGATAGTGGGGTATACAAAAGATGCTTGGATTTTGAAGAACTGGTGGGGGAAGCATTGGGGAGAACAGGGCTATATGAGGCTGAAACGGCACAAAAACAGATGCGGCGTTGCCAATTATGCGGCATACGCCATGGTCTAACTGTTAAATAATAATCAAAACAACAATAATTTTGGTTTTTCTTAGACGGATGCGGAACATTTTTTTTCATGATGGCATACAAAGACTAGAGAACAAAAACGCCAAAAAACGATGAGGTTCAAAATTCGGGAGAGCGTTTTTAAAAACATTTATTTATACAGAAAGTAAAATAAAGTTTTATTCGAACTGTCCGTTACAAAGGTTGGAATAATTAAGAGCGTATTGTACAATATTACAATCGAATAAATACGGCTTTCGATGCGGTGTCAGTGATGCGTTATCTTCGCTGAGATTTGGGCTTAGTCTGCAGTTTGGGCATATAACTCCTCCCTCCTTACCTTTGGAAAATAACTGAGAGTTTTTTCGGAAAAGCCTCAAAATTTTCTTCTTCCAAAAACAATAACAATTATTTGGAACGTATTTGTTTCTTCTTTCGCTGGTTCCGTGGGAGTTATTTTTTCTGCTAAGTCTCTTGGCTGGTATATTTCGTCAACATTTATTTTTGAAAGACTGGGAGTATCCAGGACTTTCATTGCGTTCATTTCCGTTAACTGGATTTTTGGTAAAAATATTGTTTTTCCGAACTGGATTTTTACATCGTTGAAGAATTTTTCTTCATTTGCTAGTTTACTGGTATTTTAATCAGTACTGGTACTTCGATTTGCATATATCGATCCGTGTTACACTTGATTAGCAGTTTTTCAGGCTTCTGTTTTCAGAACAAGAACTAAATCTTAAGTGATTTGTTCTATAATTGCTTCTGAAGGGTTCATTTTCGTAATGGGGCAGTTTTCCATTCCGATGTCGTCAAATTATTTCTCTCCGCTTGCGCCATATAAGGGTATTGGGGGTATAACAATTGATTGATTTTGTATTATTGTGGAATTTGATTTTCTTTATAGATTGATGCTAGATATTTAAGCATTGTATATGATAATATTCTGGTAATCTAAGTTTAATTGCGTAATGAAAAAAAGAAGAATTTATCGTCATTTTGGAATGTTTTTAAACCAGTTTGTAGTTTTCGTTGATTTCCATTTAATGTAAATACTTGTAGTTCCAATTCTTTAGCTAAATTGTTTTGGTTTTTCTCAAGTGTATTTATTGCTGCTTTATAATAATTTCCGTCGTCAGCGTCGAGAGTTTCAAATAGCCATTCATTAGGCCTCGTTCATTACGAACATGTGGATGTAAATTTTCAAGTTTTTCCACCGTAATTTGTATTAAATATTCAGTTCTTTAAAGTAAAATTCGGCAAGTCCGTAATCAGAAATATTATTAGTTATGCTTTTAACATTAAACATATCTTTAATTATTTTGAATGCATTCTCTATGCTTTCTATGTGATGAATTATTTGGCTTAAATCTACATAATGGATAAATGTGTGTTTCTTATAAATTAACTTTGCGTTACCTGTCTGGATAGGAAGTACGTTGTTACTATTTGTTCGGTTAGAACTGCTACGAGTAGAAGAGTCAACATTTTGATCTTCATTGGTTTCCTGAAAGAATAGATTTTCATTAGCCTTGGCCTTCCTTGCACTGCTTTTGTGATAGCTTGTCTTTGGTGTTATTAATTTATTTTCCGTTTGGTTTATTAACGGTATCTTTTTAAATTTAGGAAGTTCTTTGCTTCTAAATTTTGTTTTAATGAAAGCACATTTTTGATCACTAAAATCTGGCAGTTCTTTACGATTTTCGTTTATTTTTGAAATAATGACTTCTTTCGATTTTTCATTTAATTCTTTTATTTGTTCGTACAATTTACTTGAGTTTTCTTTGTGCGATTGAACATAAGAAGAAATGATCGCGTTATCATTTGGATCAAATGGGATTTGAGGATTTAAATGAATTATAATGTCACCCGCGTCTCCTAAGTTATCCTATCCTATATCACGATATCCTATTGGATATCGTGATAAAGCGTCCGCTGCTCGGTTGTTTTTACATTTTTTGTTTTTAATTTCGTACTCATACTCCTCGAGTTTAAATCTCCATCTCGTGAATTTGGCGCTTTTAATGAAATTAGCCACTGTGGGAGTTTATGATCCGTGTAAATAATAAATTTTTGTCCGAATAAATAAAGTCTATAATATTAACAGCTCCAAACAATAGCTAAGAGTTCCTTTTCAATTGTCGAGTAGTTTATCTCTGCCGGGTTCAGCGTTCTTATTGCGTAGCATATTGGGTGTCCGTCTTGGGATAAAAATCCTGAGATGGCATATTTTTATGCGTCGGTTGTTAATTCAAACCTCTTTGTAAAGTCCGGATAAGATAATACTGGCTCCGAAGTTAGCAAATTTTTGCACGTGTTAAAAGAATCAATGAATTCTTTTGTGTGTTCGACTTTGCTTTCCCTTTTCAAGCATTGGGTTTAGTTATCTTGGCGTAATTTTTTATAAATTTGCGATAATACCCGGTTAAACCTAAGAATGATTTATTGTCTCGTTGTGTTTTCGGAAAAGGATATTTTTTAATCGCTTCAGTCTTCTTTTGGTTTCGTTTTATACCATTTGGGGTAACTACATGTCCAAGGAATTCCACTTCTCGTCGAAAAAATTCGCACTTGTCCGCTTGTATCTTCAAATTAGCTTCTCGTATTTTTTGGAATATTAATCTCAGATTTTGAATATGTTCTGTTAGTCCTGTACATCCATGACACGTTGGAAGGTCCGAATGGCATTCCTGAGTATTCAAAATGTCCGTTTTCTACGCTAAAAGCTGTCCTTTCGATCGAGTCGTCTTTCATTTCAATCTGATGAAAGCCGCTAGCAAGGTCCAGTGTAGAAAAATACTGTGCACGTCCCAATTTATCTAGAATATCCGTCATGTTTCCAAAAAACTTTTTGGTTGCGTTATTTTGATCGGATATGAAGAGTGGCGAACAAATGCCAAAAAGAATTTGGTTGTGTTTCATTAATTTTAATTAATAATAATAAGATTTATTGTCCAACAGATACAATATCCAGTGACAAGAAAATTAATTCGCTAAATATAGTCACCAGGTTAAATGAAAATTTCGAAAATATAGAAAAACCATATAAAGAACTTAGACTGAGACGGTATTAGATCATTGACGTCTATATCACTACAAATACAATTAAAAATGTCAAGCGAATAAAAACGCCAAACAACAAGTTGGTTGCGTTTCTTCGATTTTTTTTTTTTTTTGATCGAATGCGAAGAGTTGGGAACAAAAACGCCAAAAACAATTTGGTTCCGTTTTTTTTGAGTTTTGTCTTGATGAGATGCCAAGAGTACGAAATAAACAGTCGACAAACAATTTGGTTGCGTTTGTTTGATTTTTTACTTGTCGGGATTGGACGAGTAGGAAACAAAAAGGCCAAAAAACGATTTCATTGCGTTTTTTTTTTGTTTTCAAGTGAAATAAAAACAATTACAAATTTAAAAAATATCGGAGCCGTAAACATTTAAATATATTGACAATCTACTGTATCTGTTTGCAAACATGCAAATTCTAACACACTGCGTTAAGAAATCTAGGTAATGGCGTTTATGCAAAAATAACATTTACATACATTTGAGCATCAGTCACTTCGTATTATGGAAAATCGACATGAGATGAACGACTTAACTTAATAATAGATATAATAATTGGGGTTCGCGTTTTTGCATAAAAACCAAAATAGCTTTTTTAATAAAAAAAAGAGATGTGAAATCAAATGCGGCGTTAATTTTTACACTTAAAAATAAAACTAGTAGCATCACTGAACATTAAAACCCATTTACTACGTACGAAATTAACGGAAGCGATAACAAATTGTAAAATGTAGATATGACTTTCTGCACGGCAGAATTATCCCGAAAAACTTCATTTTAGAATCAAACAGACCGCAATAGGATAAAATATGCGGTTGCTGTGATGAATCGGCGCTTCAAAAACAACAATGCGATCGAAAACTCCGTTAAATCGAAGCACGTAATACTGAATTTTAGAAAAACAATATTTTGGTTTACTACACAAATATTATTTTCAATCACCGGCAGGTGAAAAGAACATACATTATAAAAATAAAATGCTTTCATAATATAATAAAAAAATATTTAAGTATAAAGAAAGATGCCGTCAGCCAGCCGGACACAAGCGACTTAATTTTTGTCGAGACCCGCTCAGAAGTTATCTGCGCTTACAGCGCCCCATGTTGGAAGTGGAACCGATAACCCGGCACTTACATGTTTCAGCAACGGCGTGACGGACTTTGAAAATAAAATAAAATTTCACAATAAAACAGTAAATAAAATATCTCGCTGGTCGTTTTTACGAAATTATCGGGCGAGTGTAAAGGCCTAATCACATTGCACACGTTGATGACTCGAAATGGGGCGCGGAGCGCCACCTACATTAGTTTCAATCGGAAGCGGGGATACCGCGAGACGCGTCCGTTCGCGAAGTCTCACCGAGATTTTATCACTACACACTTAAACGACGCACGACATTCGCAACATTTTTACAGAAGAGTCAAAAAGTATTTATATATATATATATATATATATATATATATATATATATATATATATATATATATATATATATATATATATATATATATATATATATATATATATATATATATATATATATATATATATATATATATATATATATATATATGTAGTTTCAATGTTTAAACTCTTTAGTACACTATCACAGTCAATTTAAATCCTGGCAAACGATTTATACCTATCGACGTCATAAATCGATCCCGAGCGTAAATAACTTTCGAAATGTAAGTGAAACTTGTTTTTTAGAACTCTGCTTTAATTTAAATTCATCACAAAATCGGAATCGACAGTCACCACAGCATTTCTTATCACATGACTTTGCTAATTTAATACACGTAGACATTATCGCGGGCCGCGTAGCCGGCTTGCGTGGCACCGATCGGATACTTCAAAACCGTATTCAAAAGGTCGTTGTGTATTTCTAACGAATTGGTGGCGTAATGCAAAACCAAGTCTTTCAACGTCGGGTATATGTTGTACGGTTCGGTAAACCCCAACCCTTTATTCGTCTCGTTGATGATGCAGTGGTTGACGCTACCGTTGCACACCACCGACAGTGCGTATTTGAATAGATTCCTCGACTTTCGAATCAAAAATGTACCGTCTCGTTTGCCTTCCAACAATTTTTCGGCGTCCAAACGCGAACAGTGCAACATCAACCACGTGTTGGGGTCGTTGTGGGGCAAAGTGTCGGTGTCGATTTCCACCTCCCCGGACGTTTCCTCGATATTCCGATTCAGGATTTGATTTAATTTGGCCGACGAGTATCCACGTTGTTGCAGCCACCTAATGCATTTCTCCCGTTCTCTGCGTAAACTGTGTATCTCCGGTTTCAACGAGGTCAATTCCCTCTCCAGCGTCCTATTGTAAGCCTCCTTGCGTTGCAAGATCTCTTCCAGCTGTTCGCAACTTTCGTTCATCATAGAGAGCCGTTCTTTGAGCAAATCGTAATTTATTTCCAAACTTTTGATCTCGTGCGGCTGCGCTTCGATTTGGTATTTCTGATGGATGAGCGTTTGCTCTTGGAACACCTTGACGAGTTCCTTCAAAGCGCACAACGCGTGCCGTTTGGTTTGCACTTCTTGCGACGTTTCGTTGAAATCCTTCGACACCCTTTCCGAATCCCTTTGCTTCTCCAACAGACTCGTGTTCACTTTCGCCAGCCGATCCGCGAGGTTTTCGATTTTCTCCGTTTTCGCCATCTCCTCCTCCTGGCTGCTTCTCGTGACCGGATATAAAAGTTTAATATTTAACGAGGTGTTGTACTGCGACAAGGAAACGGTCCTGAAGTGGTTGATCAGCTCCACCACGGAGTTGAAAATAAACGGCTCCGTGAAACCGTACTTCCCGTCCCGATGGCATATTTTTATTAGTTTGTTGGCACCACCTTTCCTAAGGGTCAAAGTGTATTCGCCACCTTTACTAGACGCGTCTCTTACGAGAAAAGTTCCATCTACCGTGTCGTTTAACATTTCGTTCACTTCTTCGCGCTTTATGTCGCCCCAATACCATTCCGCGTCGTGTAGAGACACGCTGTTCGTTCGATCTTTTTCCGCCATCGAGGAACTGGATTCCGGAAGACGACCCATACGACCTGACACCTTTCTAGGAGGAATCGCCGGTGCCGAAGCGAATTCGGGCAAACGTTCACCCCAATCGCAGTGCAACAGAAGGATCTCGACGATTCGATTATGCGCCTGCGTGTTGTACACTACTTGACTGGAATTAAAGAAAAAATTATTGCCTTTCGCGCTCAAAGCGCCGCGCGACTAATACACATAGACAAGCAATTTAATAGAAATGTGCCCCAGATTTCCCAGAAGTTCTGATAACTGTAATCCCACTCCATCAAAACAATATCAAAGGAAATAATCAGACAATGCGTCTAATCCCTGTGACACCTAATGGGTTATTAGAAACATCAATAAAATTAAACAACATAGCAGCCAAATTCCAAGTTTCGTGCTGTTTAGTAAATAATTCCATGAAGCGTGCTGTCATTCCAAAACTCCTAAACTTAGCTTTAATTAAGCCGGTACTTATATAAGCAAATCGCAACTACCGGCCAATTAGTTCCAAATTAGTTGAATTAATTAAATGGATCAACTGGCACCGCCATTTTTCGATAGAAAGCAGTATGCCACTGTTCAAAATGAAAGAAATGCTATAAAATCGAAACTTTTAGAAATACGGATGGCAAATTTTATTATTGCTTATTTGAAAGACCTACCAATGTACCATCCTAGTATCTGAAGAAAACATGTCATTGACAAACAAATGCATCTAAAAAAAATAAATTTGTGGTGTAGGCAAAATAACTATAGTAAGTAGCAGTAAAACGAATATATTTTTTTTTATTTTTTATTATATTTTTTATTATATTTTTTATTATACAAAAGAGGACCATAAGATCAAAAAAACTTGCCACTTCCGTAGTCATAAAAACATGACTCTAACCTTTTTTGTTGGAGAAAAATTCGTTTCAAAACCGCTGCTCTTTCCCAACTTATGACAGTGTAAGGTTTTGCCAAGTATACCGATGAGTAGTATACATTTAGGAAAGAAGTTTTTTGAAACACGATCCATTTGATTAAAAATAAAGCGAAATTTTACTAGACTTTGCAATAATACGTTTGGTGTTAGAATACGAAAATTCTGCTTTCACAAATAAATAATAATAATAATAATAATAATTAGGCCCCTCCAGTAACGAGTCCGCGGTTATGCGGGAGTTATTGACAGGTTGTATGCTGGCATATGAATAAGGTAAAAGTATAAAATGTTACACGCAGGATGCTGGAGAGTCTATATCATTAAGTTTGTTTAAATTCCATACAACACATTAGGAAAACTTATTTAAAAAGATCCATTCAACGCTTAAGGATAGTCCGAACATTGTTTGGTTTACGGCTATGTAGCTGGGACCCACAAATAATTTTCTTGGTTTCGACCCAAAGACTGCACCTTATGTGCTCGCGTTGCAGATTTAACGAAAACATGTGTGAAAAAAGTGTAGGCAGATGCAAAGTAGACATAAACAATATTTTAAAACTTTGGCATTTCACTAAAATAAATATAAACTTTTTTTTTGAATAGTTCTTCTCTACCCAATGGGACCGGCACAGAATTTCTACCGCATTCGACAAGTCAAAACCATTTACCTGCGAAAGCGCTATATCAAAAATACTTCAAAGCATTTTAATGTTCCCGAACAAAAACATTTTCCGAATTGTTACGCAACAGGTTCGAAACGAAAATCCCTTAAAGACTGAAGAAATGGAAACTTACATGATACGTTCCCAAGGAGGTCTCAGAAAAATGTGGCACATAACTTGAATAAGAACCGTCGGCGGACTTTTGTTGCCCCTCATATACTCCATCTGACATATCCGACACAAATGGCTCATGATAAACTTCAAGGTGTATTTGTGGTGCTCCGGCAATTCCAAAATCAGTTGCCTCAAAACGGACGTGCATTCTTCGTCGTTTCGTTTTTTCGACGCTTCCAGAAATTTATCGTACCACTGGACTGGTATCAAGGGGTCCGGCAATTCTCGCAAATACTTTTTGAAAACGCCAGCGATCGTTACAGGACCGTATTGAGACAAGTCTACGCTCTTAAAATCGGCGTCGATTTGTTTGCAAAGTTTTTGTACCTGGTCCGAAGGCGGTGTCGCGCAATACAAGTTGTAGAGCTCCAACGTTTCGTCTCGCTTAGCCCTCTCCTCGAGTTCCGACGCGCACTTTATGAGAAGACTGGGAGCGGGTGATTCTGCAATATTGAACTGCATACAAAGCCCCTGGCCGAAATACGATTTAAACTGGAGGAAATGGGTTCTGCCGTCGTCCATGGGACGATGGGTGCAAGAGGGGAGGCCGGTCGCGGCACAAGTCCGATGAGCGACCAAGCCACAGTCTTGACATATGAAACCTTGATGTAAAAGGCCACGAAGGTATTTGTTGCATTTATCACATCTCTCGAGAGAACTAAAACTATGCTGAGTTAAATTGTGGGGGTAGCCGTTCGACGTGCTACATTCCCCCGATTCGGGTCCTAGAGATTTATTGTCCTCCGGTTTGTTCAACAATTCGTCGATACACGACAATATGGCTTTTTGGTGGAACTCATCTTTTATGCCCATTCCCTGGAACGAGAAAATACGACGGTCAGGCGGTTTATGCGATTTTAATCCGAGTAGTGCAAAACGGTATAATTTCTAACCTGCTCAGCGAAAGGTAAAACAATCCGGTGTAACAAAACACAATTATAAACACGATACGGCACGAATATATATACGATTGGATCATTTATTTCGTTTCGACGCCAAGCAAACGTATAGGAACGATTTTTCCAACTACTTTATTATGCCCTTACTAACTTCGACTTACAATTAATTTTTCGCGATCCAAATGGATGAGATCCGAGCCTTTTATGTCTTTGCATCTGAAGACATCCGAATAGGGATACAGATTGACGGCGGCTATCCATTCTACAACGTTCGATGACGACCATTCAGAAACGGGCTGGAAAATATCAAAATTCGAATCACCACTCCTTATATTTCGAACTTTACAAAACATTGGAGACGATAGCGGAGCCGTCGAAACTCTTAATTAAAAAATAATTACAACTCGCTTTTTAAGTATTGTGTGTTCATTCAAAAAAAAAATGCAATTAAACAATATCTAAAACCAATCGACCCTAGCTCTTGGCTGGAACCACTTTAGTACGAATTTTAACAAAGGATAATGGTTCGGGCGTATAACGTAGGAGGCATTACCTATTATCGAGTTGCTAAACGATAATTCATTAAAAAGTATAATTGTCGCAAATATATACACAAAAAGCATTTCAACTTAGATAATTAGAGTTTTAGTTAATTTTCTTTTTAAATAACCCGGAACTACAAAGTGTTTATAAAATGCGACTTCAAACTTCAAACAATACAAATATTTTTAAATACATTAATTTTTATGTCTCGCTTATTTACAATGGTGAGACGTTGAAATTTATTCTATCGCGTGGTACCGAAAAGTCGATTATAGTCAGTACCGCTAACCGTTAAAAACGATTTTTGCGAGACGGTCAACAATTTTGAAAAAACTTAATTGGGGCTAAACAGAGACACCTCTAGATAGATCTCGTCGACCTTTACTTTTAGTAAAAAATGTAACCTTCCCGAAGCAAGAAAGTATTTTTAAGAATTTAAAAATAGAATTAAAAGAAAAAAACGGGTTTTATGAAGCAGTTTATAAATAAATTATCGATGTTAAAAAAAAACATAAGATTTGAATTGATGACTATCAAAAACCTCCCTACGCAGCATTTTAAACGCCGTTTTTGACATTTTGGAATGAAAAACAGGCCCAAAATTTGACGGTTAATTTTGGTATTTTATATCTTGCTTATTAGCGTGAGAGGTCGAAATTTATGTTTTGAATTTATGTTATGAATGGCACCGAAAAATCGATTATAGGTTGTACCGTCAGGAACGATTTTTGTGAGAGGGTGAAAAATATCAAATAAAAGTAAATTTAACTTAAACTTTCCCGGAGCAACTTGGATTTTTAAAAAAATAATTGAGAAAAATAATATTATGCCAAATTTTACCCGCTTTTGAGGACCGCTGACCCCTTTTAAAGTGAAATTAATAATTTTAAGTCAAATGAGGCGCAAAATCATAAAAAACACCTTATATGGTTTAGTTTAAAGTGCGGGTCACTCTGCAATCACTTTCCTCGTCAAATTGGACTTTCCAAAATCTGAAAAAAAGAAACTCAACTCAATAGAGAGGACGCTGAACGGACAGATCCATTTATTATTAATTCGAATACGTATGCGCGTAGCTCTATACGGCTGGGTTATGTACAGAAATCGAGCAGTTGGCAACAGCGCACGCTTTCGCTGGTTTCGTTATAATATGTGAGGCAATTCCCAAGCAAGAGAGAAGGAAGCATCGCACATAGTCCCGCATAGCAACGCGCTCGCAGTGCCACATTAAGTGAGCTAATGGGAGGCAGGTTTCAACCAAACTAAATGAGTCTCTTTCGATTCCGCCACCACTTAAGCGACAAATTAATTAAACCAATTCGAAAGGTCCGACAATTTAAAATACGGAAAAAATCGATATATGTCCAAATAGACAAAAACCAGGTACCAGTCGTTTGATAAAAAAAATCTCGAAACGCAGCACGCCCAAAGCTAAAGTTCAATGAAAGTGAAAATTGAAATTGAATTTTGTTTTTTTGTTTTTTAATGTCGAAATATATTAAAAAAAAATTATTTTCCCCTTCGGAACCCTGCGATTCTTTTTTTAATAGCCAGCGTGCGTTTAATTAATTTCGCCCAATTAAATATATCGGCACTAATTTATACGTTCGACTATGTAATAGTAAATAGTGCTATTATATGTACAATCTTCGTGTACGATTGTCGGACCACTGTTTTACCTATCTTTACAGGTGCCAATTAAAAATGCCAAACGTTTCACGTGTTACGGTATTTTTCCAATAAGAACACGAAACTGACGAGTAACGAAAAGGGGCAACTGATTCGCAAAAAGTGATATTGCTCTAGCAAAGTTTAATTCGGAAATTTGGCAATTAAATTTTGTGTGTGTGTTCCAGGTCACGTCGGCACCTATCACGAGAAAAAATTGACCACAGCGTACGGCTGAGATCGTCCCACAATTCAGCTCGATTATAAATTATCACAAAAGCATTATTTTCCCGAGATAAAAAAGTAATACTGAATGCGACTGATAATTAACTAATCAAGCGAAGTTGAAATATCGAGGTAAAAATTGGAACGAGCTGTTTATTCAGCGCCATTTTAATTTTGCGACGATAAGACGAATCTAATTTACAATATCAAATATTTAAATTTACCTATAAGCCACGTGTTTAACAATGATATACTACTCACTTACTCCGAATACGTCGGACACAAGGAGGCATTCAAAATTTCCAAGGCTCTTCATTATTCTTTACATAGAGCGATGGTTCCAGAAAAAACACATTACTTTCCCGGAACCCATTAAATTTTATCACCTATTCGCTTTGACACGAAATATCACTTCCATCTTTTCGATCGGCGTGAATACTGCAGACTTGCTGGCGATAATTCTGAGACTGATTTCGACACTTAAATTGTATATCGCAATATAACCTTTTAATTATCGCTATCTATTTATAAAGCATTATCTTAAATCTTGCGATGTAGACAAAACGGACAATTTTGACGGATCGTTAATCGCGAAATGTATAAAAAAAAAACGATTTGAGAAAAATATTCAAATTTATTTGCGAATTTCTTTAATGAACGCCGACTGATCGAATAATAAATGCAGTAGAGATTCGGCGGGACGTTGAGTTCGACCGATCTGATAAAAAGGTCAAATCGAGATAGCGAATATTATGTATTATCGTAATTCGTCTTTTTGTCATTTCAAGGAATCGACTTCGAGCAGTAAGTTAAAATTAAAATCACTGGAATTGTCAACCGAGCTATTAAGCGTCACTTAGAAGATACTGTAGCAGATTATAAGAGCAATTAGAGTTTATGGACCTGCAAAACGGCAATTAAAAATATATATATTTTAACTTCTTTTTCTATTCGAAGAATGCAAATGAAAGCAATAATTCGTCAAGGTTTTTAATTTAATTTGATGTTAAATGTAGTTTGCCGGCTCCGAAACAAAGAAGGATTTATTCGTTTCGCGCGGATATAAATTCTCGAATCTAGGTTAACCGAAAAAAAAGCATTTAAAATAATTTTCCTACTATTTATAAGACTGGCGCAATTAAACGCGACTATGTCGCTGTTACCCGACGCCTAGCGCTGCGTATTACAACATTTCATCCCTTTTGCGAATTTCTGTAACACGTCAAATGTATTTTTCACAAAAATCACAATTGAACTAGGGTGACTTTTTTTTTACTCGACGAGAATCCATTTAAACTGTGTATGACACCCGTTTCGATAAAGTATATTCTTTGATTAAGGTACGGTGTAAATTGTAAAGTACAGTATATTATTTTTAAAAACCATATACGTTGATTTTTACTTTATTATTAAAAATCGTTTATCTAACATATTTTCCGTTGAGAGTTTACGATTTATATTTCAGATAATATTTTTATTTATTTTCTGAGACCCTGAATCATTCACAAAAAAACGCTAATCTCAATTGCACGTACATCAGACATACATAAAAAAAAACGCGAACAATAATCGAACGCTTCTTATCTTGAACGAAATAAAAATGTAATTTAAAGTGATTATTTGACGCGTTTGACACGAAAGAAAAAACTGAGTAATCGTAAGCTGCGATATTGGGGAGCAATTAATTTTGATTTTTTCAATGCACCGTTCGGAAGTTTTAAAAACTTAACCGTTAATATTTTATCAACATTTTACAAATATTTGTCAAATGATATAAACGCCCCCCTAGTTAATGCAACGTTAAATCGTTAAAAAAGTAATTACTATACATCGAGTTTATGGTTAAATTAAACTTCCAGTTTGAAAACGTGTAGGTACGTGCAATAAACATTCTCCACGTGTAGCATTGAAACTGCAACATCTACGTAGTATACAGTAATACCGTTCCCAACGCGTTGGAATGAAAATGGGATTTATTTACAAAATTTGTAATTTTAATACTGGTCTTTGTATAACGTTCGCAACGCGATAGCGATATTGTTTGCTAAACTCCAAGAAAATTATTAATCAATATATATTTTCGAACAACGTCCCGAAATTGTTTCCGACTTTCGTCCGAGCAAATTTTCTGCGTTTTCGATATTAGGCTTAAAAATTTCATATTATCGAAATTACGAGATTGACCCGTCCCCGTATTTTTTCCCGAAGTCCGATTAGAAATTCTTATGTAACGTGCTTACTTTCCACATTTTCTAACGAAATACTTAGATAACATAATCTACTTAAAGGCAGTTTTAAAAAAGTAGCCATCTATCGCGCATCGGAGTATTAAAACTTGATTGATTTAGTGTAGTTCATAGATTAAGCGGGGCCTCAATTACTATATTAAATCAAGTATTTTTCCATGATTCCCGATATTCAAAAACGGTACGCCAGTGGCAGATTTTATTCGGCGAAGGGTTGCCTAAAACCGCCGCAGAAGCCGATTGTCCTTACTTCTCCAAGGCCATCAACAATATCTAATAAATATTTAAATTATCCACGATGTTGGACAGGTTAGGATGTTTTATTGGATGACAACATCGGTCTTGTCCTAACTTACAGCCACTCAACGGCGTAGAACTTCGTTCGCAACACATTTTTGCTAAAAAAAAATGCAACTCTAGGTAAAGTCTGTTCATAGATATAAGAAAGTGACTAACTGATACGAATTGAGGAAAGACCCGGGCAAACTGTAAGAATGAAATATGGCCGAACAGGTTCGAGCTTTGCTTGGAATTTAATTATTTGGGGTTTTGTTAGGAAAGATACTAAACAATATTTATTTATTTATATATGTATTTATGTTTAAATCTAAAAT